GCCACCTCTTTGTGAAACTCCTCAGGGTCCAGATGGACTCCTGAGCAGCAAGACATGACCAAAACGCTTTATACAAGTCTGGGGGAAAGAAAAACAACAACAACAAAAAAAAGACAGCTTTGTCCCTTTTCATCATCAATTGCTGTCTGCAGCCAGGACGGCATTGCAAATGAGAACCAGTTCTCTCAATTTTTTTGTACAGGTTTTTAGACCAGGGTATTCATAACAATTAGTGATTTTTTTTCTCCCTACATTATTTAAAACATTAAATATCCTGTCGTCGTCAGCGTATTCTATTCAATATAGGTTAATAAGGATATGCAGATCACTGCATTCTGTTTTTATTTGCGTTTTACACAATGTCCCAAATTCATTGGAATTGCCGTTTATAACTGAAGATGTAAAGCAGGTTATCTTCATATACGGTTACATCTCTGGTTGCCATGCCAACCTGGCATCACATTAGCGGTACCTGCCAGGTGGTAGGAGAGGACGTCAGGGTCTAATCCGATCGGGACGATTTCCTCAAAGACACCCACCTTCAGCTCGGTGAAACACTCAGGACCGCCATCACTTGTCTGATCACACACGGGGAAACACACGCACACACACAGAGAAGGTAGTTCATTAACCAAAGAAGTACTTGGTCAATTTTCATCCTATAGAGAGAAATTTTAGAGCAATTTGTCAAAATTAAATCCTTTAATTCTCTCGGTAATGCTGGATGATGAATTTGAAATTAGGAATGCACAATATTTATCGAACCAATAATGATCGACCCAGTAAAAGCAAAAAAATGACTGTTATGTTCCGATCCCGCAAAATTAGGCCGATAGGCTGCTATTGAAAGCCGCATTAAAATACACTAATGAAGAACCAGCCAAAGTCTCCTCAACTCTAAAAACAATATTTATTGTAAATATTGAAACTCGGAGCCTGTCACTATTTCAATTTGTCGTTCAATGAGGAAAAATGGACACGACAGTGTTGGGGCATGATAAATGGTCATCTGCATACCTCTTTGTTTACATATGGAAAACAACTTGCATGCTAGACTTAAATAAAAGTTCATAAACTTGAAGAAAAAAAACACTATTCGAAGAAGGACTAATTTAACTCATTTACCTCGGTAAGCATAAAAAAGTATCGACTCTGATGCTTTTGCTTTGCAGTGTGTTTTTGATTCATCGTTTGTGGTATATTTGCCGTTTAAAACATAGGCAAAACGGTTTGAATTTTCTTTTTTTTTAACGGGATGGACAAAAATTACTTACAGTTTCTTGCCATCTTTTTAGCTATATTTATCGAGTTTCTTTAGCGGCTTCCGTAATCCAAAGTTTATCAATTTACGTTAACGTGACAGTTTAGTTCACCCATAGCTGGTCAAACTTCACTAAGACTGAAAAACTGAAGAAGGATGTGTTGGTATACAGCTAACTAACACAAGTAAGGGTACAAAGAGCATTGACTTGATTTTTGATTTTCTTCACTCTATTTATGACTTGTCTCGATTTGCTTGAAATTTAGTGCGGACTCGATTTACGCAGTGCTGCTTTCTACAACTTCGAAAGTTTAGGCATCATACTTAGGATTTAGATGATTTAGGTTACCCTACTCACCTTCCTTCTGCTTAGGTTGTAGAACCTTCTGAGCGACGCACAGAGCTGCTTCTCCTCTTTTAGTACGTTAGGCGAACATACGTTTTCAAGGTTCCAGTCTAAGAACTCTGAGCAAACCGAAGTCATGTTTTTAACAGTTTATATTTATTTGTTTTCTCTTGTCGACAAACGAGCTCCCATTGGATTGGCCGGACAGAAGAAGCGGTTGCACCACTTCTTCTTCTTCTAGTTTTTGGCGGATTACATCTCATTGTTGCATACTAGTGATGGGAATTCCGGCTCTTTTTAGAGAGCCGGTTCTTTTGGCTCGGCTCACTAAAAAGAGCCGGCTCTTTCGGGGTCCCCACTGGCATCCACGCAGTGACCTCCATGGACGAGCTTTCATTGTGTGGTTTGGCGTTGTCTTTTTCTTCTTGGCCTTTGTTAAGCGAGTGATTGTACTGGGCTCGTGCCAGCTGTTGAATTTCACTGCCATGCAGTCTGGCGACGTGTTGGTGAATAGCAGCTTGCTCAGCAAACACACAGCCACAGCAGCACCAGGATGGACTGCCCACCACCTCGAGACTTGCTTCCTGCTTGGATGCCACAAAGGCAGCGAAGGACTGAAAAAGAAACATTAGCTTTTTCGTGATTTACAATGTATCCAGCTATTCGCAGTTTGCACTTCAAGAATCACTTGGGTTGTTCGAGGAAGTTACAGAGTCTGTGCTGCATGTAAAAATACATGCACACTTCCGGTGCTTTTTTTTTTCAAAATGAAATCCTTTATTTCTCTCGGTAATGCTGGATGATGAATTTGAAATCAGGAATGCACAATATTTATCAATATTTATCGAACCAATAATGATCGACCCAGTAAAAGCAAAAAATGACTGTTATGTTCCGATCCCGCAAAATTAGGCCGATAGGCTGCTATTGAAAGCCGCATTAAAACACACTAATGAAGAACCAGCCAAAGTCTCCTCTACTCTAAAAACAATATTTATTGTAAATACTGTATTGAAACTCGGGGCCTGTCACAATTTCAATTTGTCGTTCAATGAGGAAAAATGGACACGACAGTGTTGGGGCATGATAAATGGTCATCTGCATACATCTTTGTTTACATAAATCAATATTCACTCGCGATTTTTCCCTCTCCTGTCTGTCAACTAACTTGATCGCTTTTGTGGGAGTTGGCACTCACAAGCGCGCGCACACGTCGCTGGTGCTCTTTTTGTATTATTTAATTGCTTTTGCTTTGCAGTGTGTTTTTGATTCATCGTTTGTGGTATATTTGCGGTTTAAAACATAGGCAAAGCGGTTTGAATTTTCTTTTCTTTTTTTAACGGGATGGAAAAAAATTACTTACAGTTTCTTGCTATCTTTTTATCTATCTTTATCGAGTTTCTTTATCGGCTTCCGTAATCCAAGGTTTATCAATTTACGTTAACGTGACAGTTTAGTTCACCCATAGCTGGTCAAACCTCACTAAGACTGAAAAACTGATGAAGAATGTGTTGGTATACAGCTAACTAACACAAGTAAGGGTACAAAGAGCATTGACTTGATTTTTGATTTTCTTCACTCTATTTATGACTTGTCTCGACTTGCTTGAAATTTAGTGCGGACTCGATTTACGCAGTGCTGCTTTCTACAACTTCGAAAGTTTAGGCATCATACTTAGGATTTAGATGATTTAGGTTACCCTACTCACCTTCCTTCTGCTTAGGTTGTAGAACCTTCTGAGCGACGCACAGAGCTGCTTCTCCTCTTTTAGTACGTTAGGCGAACATACGTTTTCAAGGTTCCAGTCTAAGAACTCTGAGCAAACCGAAGTCATGTTTTTTAACAGTTTATATTTATTTGTTTTCTCTTGTCGACAAACGAGCTCCCATTGGATTGGCCGGACAGAAGAAGCGGTTGCACCACTTCTTCTTCTTCTAGTTTTTGGCGGATTACATCTCATTGTTGCATACCGCCACCTGCTAAACCAGAGACCGCGAGCAATGGCAAGCAATGCTCTTAAGTATCAACCACCTGAAAGCTGAATTGCCACGGTATCCGCCGGCCATTGCGACCATATTGAAGTGTCCTTGAGCAAGATATTGAACCCCCAGTTGCTCCTGATGCTGTGGATGAGGTAACAGTGGAAAGCGCTTTCAGTACCAAAGGTAAAAAAGCGCTATATAAGTAAAAGCCCATTTACCATTTAATGTAATGCATTTTATTATTCCATAAAAAAACAAAGAACATCTGATCTATGTATTTTATGGCCTATATACGTGCAATGAAATAGCGCCATAAGTACATTTGAAAATTCCCGGCGATCTCTGGCGGTGTCCATATTCTTAGTCTACCATGTAGACTGCGTGCTCCGAAGGCTACGTTTACGAACGAATGACGTCACACAAACGCACCCCGACGGCACGTGGTTTACAAATGCTAGAAAGACAGTTTGCAAACTGGGTCCTTCGACGACTTCAAAGATTGCTCCTCGTGAAGCCTCTCTGGACTGCATAAAACATGGCGAATTTGGATAGGGTTAATGTGCATTTGGACACCGATGCGGTCGAGTCACGCCGAAAGTGAGGTCGTGCTGCCGTCGCCTGCCGAATATGCAGCCTTCGGAGGACGCAATCTGTGTGCATGGACACAGCCTCCTCCATTAGTCCTTACGTTCGCTACCGGAAATGTGTCTCACTTAAATGGGCCGACTAAGCTAGGCTAATTGTTGCCCATCACTCGCTCACTTGCGAGTTCAATTGATACATGAAAAGGCGCCTTTTCCATTTTTGGTCTCCATTAAATTTTGTGTTTTTTTTTTTCACTCACAATTTACGGCAAAACGGATTAAAACATGTCCAGGAGACGACATAGCGACTCATATGACGGTACGTTGAACTTTGATGTCGTCGTTTTCCCACGTTGGAGCAAATGAATTGCGGCTAGTAGCAAGTAGCCTCTTCCATTTGTTATTGTTCGTGCTCTTTTTGTATTATTTAATTGCTTTTGCTTTGCAGTGTGTTTTTGATTCATCGTTTGTGGTATATTTGCGGTTTAAAACATAGGCAAAGCGGTTTGAATTTTCTTTTCTTTTTTTAACGGGATGGAAAAAAATTACTTACAGTTTCTTGCTATCTTTTTATCTATCTTTATCGAGTTTCTTTATCGGCTTCCGTAATCCAAGGTTTATCAATTTACGTTAACGTGACAGTTTAGTTCACCCATAGCTGGTCAAACCTCACTAAGACTGAAAAACTGATGAAGAATGTGTTGGTATACAGCTAACTAACACAAGTAAGGGTACAAAGAGCATTGACTTGATTTTTGATTTTCTTCACTCTATTTATGACTTGTCTCGACTTGCTTGAAATTTAGTGCGGACTCGATTTACGCAGTCCTTATGTCATTGTAACTTCATTCTAAACTCATCTCACATGACCCTGTAAAAGTCAATGTCATACAGCTCATCACGTCCAAAATACCACAATATTTTTCACACTTCCTAAGATAAAATTGAAATCGGTGACTGCCATCAATTGCTAGTAAACGGTAACGATTAGGACACATAAGATGCTCTGACCCAAGTTTCCAACTACACATGTGCACAAGGAAAGGAGGATGCTTGAACACCTATGCTCACATATGCTCAATTCCACAAGGTTGCAATATGCTCAATTCCACAAGGTTGCAAGGATACAAGTCCACTGACGAGACATAAGGAGATAAGTCCCACTAGGACAGACATAAAATACAAGGATGCTGATGCAGGAGTGGATGTGTACACCTGGATGCTAGGACACATGTAGACAAGGGTGCAAGCCCATTAGGACACAAGGATGCCAATACAAAAGTACATGAGGACATACCGTAGTTACACTCGGGCACAAGTCCACGAAGAAGCAAGTAGAAAGCAACCAAATCCATTTGGACACAATTACATTGGGAGAAAATTACACTGGCCCAAAAGTAACAAGAGTTTAGTGGTTTTTGGTGCCTGTAAAATGTTGCTATTGTTTGCTCCAATTTCGAACCAACAGGAGGCCAGGATCACAAGAGGAGAAGAACCTCCGAGCCCACTGAAATTGAAGACAGCCTGGAGTCTTTGATATGCAATGTGGGAGAAAAGGTAATGTTTTATACTGAAAGTGATGACAAAGACGATGAAAAACCTGCTATGCAAACTGAAGCTATACAGTAATCCCCCAGGATTTTTTTTTGGCTATTGTTTGCTCCAATTTCGAACCAACAGGAGGCCAGGATCACAAGAGGAGAAGAACCTCCGAGCCCACTGAAATTGAAGACAGCCTGGAGTCTTTGATATGCAATGTGGGAGAAAAGGTAATGTTTTATACTGAAAGTGATGACAAAGACGATGAAAAACCTGCTATGCAAACTGAAGCTATACAGTAATCCCCCAGGATTTTTTTTTTGTATGTGGGTACCAACATGTTTAAAATATACAAGTATACATATGTGAGACAAAGTCACTGCTTCGTGTCTGAAAAACAGCTGACCGCATCGGAAACCTTCAAAATAAGGCCCTGACTCGATCATGCCAATGAACAAGCCCCCTGCCTCTGTTGACGTGTCCCAGGCATGTAGGAGCATTTAAGCCCCCTCGTCCCTGTTGATACTGCCATCTCCATGGAGGAACGAGGGGGCTGACACGCTCCCGCACACCCGGGGCACATTGTTCCCACAGCGGCAAGTGGTTGGAGCGCAGCTTAACTACTCAAAAAAAGTTATCGCTTAAACAAAAAAAGTTATTGCGAGTACAACACTAAGATACAGAATTGTGAGACTCGCAAGACACAACAAGGGAAGGTTTTGGATGAGGCTGCGATAATGTGCAGCCAATCAGCGCACGGGATAAATCAACTCATGCTCTCATTGGCTGGTGCCGCGCCCTGAACCAATCACACGCCTTGTATGAGTGCCCGTGGCATTGTACAGTGCAGTGCAGACATGTACAAAATATCTGAGTCACCTCATCTCTTTGTTTGGGATTGAGGGTCGCGCATCAAGATAAAACAACCCATCTTTCTGCAATATGACTGCTGATATGGCTGTATTTTTTTCTTCCTTTTAATTTTTTGATTCTCTCTTCTTTTTTTTTTTTT